ACTAAACAGGTTTACGGAGCACTCCAACGAATGCAGCGGGCAACATGTGAGCGGGGAAGAGGAAAAGCAAGGGAAGCGAGGGCACTGCATGCCGGCATATACTCCCTTGCAGGTTGCTCGTGCCATTCAGAGCGAGGCTACAAGCAATCCAAACATCTCGGCGAAAACTATCGCTGCGCTGGTAAGGGCAAAGCAAATTTACAAGCGCCAACCGCCGGATAGCCACTATCGCTCCGTACGCGTCGAGCTGTTGCGACATATGGACGCATCTCGGGCTGTTGATATGGCAAGCATGGAGGGGTATGCTGAATTGCTGCGCAACTGTGGGCACACCGTTCGTATCTTCATTATCGACGGTTCGGAGATGAAGCAGCAGAGAATCCGGTCTGCCAAGCACATCTTCCAACAGTGCAAGAAGGCGAAAAACATCCCAGAGGACGCCGAATTCAACGAAGAGGTGATTGACATGTCGGATATTGCAGAAGACGGTCGCTACTACGGTGGACTCTTATTCGTGCCGAGCGTTGCTGCTCGTTATTGTGCTCTTGGGCGTAGGACGGCAGCAGCAGATGCGGCTCACTGTGACGGGGTGGGACCGCAATCGTACGGGACTACATTCGAGTTTGTAACGTACGACACGAACATGCACCTCCTGCCACTGGTGTTTGCCCACTTCGTCGGAGCTGAGAGTTACGAGTACTGGAGAACCGTCTTTGAGGCATGCAAGGAGATACCCGGGTTCGACGTCGCAGAAACGCACCACCATCGTTGACCAAGAGAAGAGCATCGACAAGGCGTATAAAGAAGTTTTCAATGAGGCGAAGATGTTCTTGGACCCCCTACACGTACGCGAAAACATGGGAGTTAAGCTTGGGGCTACGAAGGCAATTGGGTTGTCTCTATACGAGCGGGCGCTGCATGCACCATCCAGACGGGCAGTGGATGCCATCGTGGTTGAGTACACAGAGGCGCAGAAGCAATATCTGGGCAAATTCGAACCGTCCGAGCTTTACAAAGCTTACTCGCGATTGGAGGACACAATCGTCACCTCCCAAGGGGCGGAAAGTCAGATGAGCCCCTCTTTGCGAAACCACATTCGCTCCGTTGAACCACAAAAGATGATTAACAAAGTGGTTTTGACGCAACGGTCCGGATTCCTCAAACGCCAATCTGCTTCACAGTCATGTACAAGTCCAGTACCCCCGGCTATCGAGAAGAAGATTGCTACTTTGATTCAACGGTCCCGATTGTATCAGGAAACAGTTTCCTTCGTGGATGGAACTGCGCAAATGGAAGCAACTGTGACAAGCTGCACAGATGGAGCACTACAGCGTCGGGTAAGTTTGTCGGATGTGCGGCAAAAGCCGCCGGTTTGCTGCGGGTATTCGTCTAATGGCGATGGTATTCCATGCTTCCATGGAGTTACAGTGCTGTGCGAGAAGTATGGAACGGCTAACATTCACCGCTTTATTGCGGAAAGCATCTAGCCGCCAGATGGAGCGAGCTATATAAAGATGTATCGTTTACTCTACCATCCCAGTCAGAAGTTGATAGCGTAATATCACGCGCAAAGGTTTCAGTCATCGCTGGGACTAACCTCACTATTCCCAAAGCATTGCCACCGCCGCGAGGGCGTCCGGTTAAAAATTCTGGTGTTCGCAGGAAGGGGTGGTTTGAGAGAGGTCCTGCCGCAAAGAAGAAGCGCGGTTATACGTGCGGTCTTTGTCGAAAAAAGGGTCATATCTGTCCGCAGTGTCAACTGCGTCAACTGTTTGGGAATCCCTAGTTGTGGGAGGATGGTTCCAAATGCGAAGCAGTTGGGATAGTTTCTAATGCGTATTGTAGCTTGATTTGACGACGATTGTAAATGTGAGGGTTATAGACCGTTTGAATATATCCCTCGGGATGATAACTGTCACCCCTAATCTCACACATTCCGTTTGAATATATCCCTCGGGATGATGATTGTCACCCCTAATCTCATACATTTTTCCAATGACGCCCCATAGATGCACTCTGTCACCCTCTAAGCGCTGTGGAGGGGTGCAAAGTCACCTTCAAGCCCTGAAAGTCACCGTAGACTCCAAGCGGCATGGAAGAAATCACCCCCTCAAAAATATCTTGCTCCATTTTCACCCATGGGGTGGTTAAATTCTGTGCGTGGTACCCTAGCAGCAGTACAGAAATTGGAAGTCACCTATATGGGAATCTAATTCTGCAAGCGATCGCCCTGGATCTACAGCTTTTAGCCATTTCGGAATAGTCGATATAACGGTCGGAGCGTTCGGCCTTAGTCATGAAGAGATGCATGTTACCGACAATATTGCTTGCCCACAGGCTTGCTTCCACCTGCGATTTCCACACGAGATGGCCTCTTGGGCTAACTCCACTTCGTAGCAGCCTGGGCCGCGTAAAGTACGCTTTCGGTTGGCAACACAATTGAAAATTGACAGCATAAGCAGTCATGTTCCGATTCTTCCCTGGAGGCTTTCTTGCATGACCCTTATAAACCTGTGACGCGAACCCTGCTCTCGCTGGAATGAACAAGTAATTATACCGCACAAAGCGCTCCAGTGCCTCGTAATCTTTAAGGCAAGTCTATTGCGTCGCATGCTGCACAAAATGGCCCACTGCTATTCACGGAGAGGCCAAAAGAATTTTTTTCTGCCTACTAGTAGTGCTTCAAACCTCTTTCCATCTCGCAGACAAATCGTAAGAGTGAGAAACTCATTCCGGCTATCTTATGAGCTTAAAATTGGTTATCTTCCTCTGTTGCCACTACCCTGTTTCCTATTTTCGAGTCACACATCACACGCCTCCTCTTCATCAAAGCGTTGTGCCTTCTATCGTTCGTCCTCTTGTAAATAAAGCACTGTGCACGAGGAGGACATCTGTGAAAAGCAAACATGCATTCGCAAGAAAGAAAGCACAAGTCACCGTATTGCGCAGACGAAAAAAAAAAAAAAAAAAGTGAAGAAACTTCGTAGTTAGTGCTCCGTTGAAAAGGTTTTCTCTAGATGCAATCTGATCTGAAAAAAGTGAAGCCGCCTGCGTTTTGAGAGACAATTGAACGTACGTTTTCCTACAATGCGTACAAATCCAGCCCGAACCCGGAACGGCACTGCTCTCCCAGTCGTAGCCAAAGTCATTGAAGCACCTTTCGCAAATGACTTTCCGACAAAGTCCATTGCGAAGACGGCCACAAGCCATCAACGGGAGGCGCTCAGCTCTTCTCAGGCATATGTGGCAAAACCGAGAAGGTTGATTTGTTCCGCTGCGACTCTCACTTCCTTTCGACGGGCTGTCGCTGAGACGCATACCTTCAAAATAAATCCCCGGAGGCCTTGAAGTCATGTGGCGACGAGAACTCGGCTTTCGAGGAGGCGACTTAGCTTCGATTGACACACCGGAGCAGCCGGTCTGTATCAAGTCCAAAGCATGCACCTCGTTCGGATTTGAGTAGGTATGACTTCGACGGTATGCCTGAGGAGCTGCTGCTGGACTCGTTTCTCCGGGGTTTGAAGCACTGCAAGAAAAGAGGCCATCTATAATAAAGTCTTCATCAACAAAAGTTTCCTCGCACGTCAGAGAGTTGATGGGGTCCTCTGTCTGGTCTTCGAGAGAATCCCCAGGCACTGATATTGACCCCATATGCTCCTCCGTCAGCAGCTCTGCGCATTGGGAGACCGTATAGCAGTCTGAGCTGGCCATACATTCCATAGTTCGGCTTTCCTCAGCGTTTCGTGTCCATGCTTCTTCGTTCCAAATGAGCAATGGCCATAGTTCGTTCTCCCTTAAACTCAGAGGCTGGCTCGTGTTGGTACTAAAGTCGTTGCCGAGAAACTGTTTGTCTTCATGCCATAGGTCGTCTGCTGTGTTTCCATCATGCCTAGAATCAAAATCTATTTGACTCAGAAGATCTTTCTCGGTATTTTGAGGCTGGTGCACATGTTTTTGGGATGAGTCAATGCCCCATACCGCATACTTCTGAGGCAAGTGAAGCATCGGTGCGTTTGGAAACTCAAAAACGTATCGAACGTTCCTACGACCTGAGTGTACTTGAGATGCTTCATCTACTTTGCTGATGTTACTGCCAATTCCTGTTTTCGGGCGTGGAAATGGAACTTCAAGACTGTCGCAAGGGCTTACTTTGCTCGGAGAGAAATCGATGTTTTCAAAAGTACTGTCCATTGAGGAGCCTGACCATCCACTTGTACGCTGCAAGTTGCAGAGTACATCGCCGCCACATTCAAGAGACTGAAGCGTTTCTGTTGTGGGCATCTTCGTCGTGTCTGGCTGTTTTTATGGATAGCGTTACTTTCCCTAACAAGATGTCTCGATGCAGCTTCCTTGGCACGTCAAGCGGACACACTGAAGCTGCAACACGCTATATCTATCCTTTACCTCTTCGCCCCACTTTTTCTGTGAAACGCCTTTGAAAGGGCATAACGTCTATGGGAATTTCTGCCGCAGCCTGAGGTCCTGGAACACTTGCCCCTTGGCTTATTCTCCGGCTCAGTGAGCATTAATCTTTCAAAGATTAACCTTCCTTTTTGCTATTGCAGTCTGTGCCTCAGCCCGTCGTAACATTGATGAAATATACTCTACAATACTCTCCGTATCTTGACATGCTTCTTTTGTCTTCAAAATAAAAGTATTTGTGGTTACTGAGGCGCAGGAAAAGGGAGGGAAATTTAAACTCTAAGATGTCCGCTCAAACTAAACCACAAAAATGCGGGTCACACGGAACGTCGAGTGAGGTTCATGAGGACGCGAAGGTTCAACAGCCGCCCATTTCTCAAAGCTGCGCCCGTTGGTAAGAGAAGATACGAGATCAGTATTTGCATTCATTGTTTTTTATGCTAGTAGAAATCCATGTCGTGCACAATCCAGGTCAATTCGAGAATCAATGCTGCTCGATACCAGTGAGACTACGAGGGTTTGAGGAAGGGCCATTCGTATATGGTACCAACCGTAGATGTCCAAGCAATGAAAAACGATTCGAGGCATATTTCAAGTGGCCAACTGCTTGATAGTGCGCAGTATTCGCCCCTGCGTCTATAAACACTTTCTGTGTGAACCCAATTTTGCTAAAAAGGACGCTTCAAACTATCTGCACAATGCATCTGTCTAATGTGTCCAAATGTTGTGTGAAAGTTTCTATTACGCGTGATACAACAAGAGTTGTACTACAGATTCCCGCGAAGTGCCTGCTCCCTTTCGATTGCTTCAAACAAACTTTTGAAATTACCCGCGCCAAACCCTTCGTGCGACCTCCTTTGGATGATTTCTAGGAAGAAAGTAGGCCTATCTTGAGTTGGTTTTGTGAATATCTGCAGAAGGTATCCCGACTCATCAAAGTCAACTAAAATACCCATTGCTTTGAGCTTGTTCAAACCCTCTGTGACATTTGTAGAACTGTCGCTGAGCCTATTTTTCAGGTCTGTGTAATAGGTATCTGGCACTTGAATGAACGCAACCCCGCGTTGACGAAGGCGAGAGACCGATGTGACGATATCTGACGTGTTGAGTGCAATATGTTGAATGCCAGGACCCCCGTAGTAATCTACAAACTCCTGTATTTGAGACTTTCTGAGTCCATTGGCGGGCTCATTTATCGGCATTTTGACGCGTTCAAAGTAATCTGCCACAACAACGCTTCTCAAAGAACTATACTTGGTGTGCAGCTGCTTGTCATCAACGCTCCAAAACCTATGGAAAGCAAATTTTTCCACATACCATTGAGCCACTCTGTCCATCTCGCCTTCTGGCTGATTGGCAACGCAGTGGTCAATAAACCTCAAGTTGACAGGCTCAACTAGGTCTAGCTGCGGATCGGGCTCTTCGATTTTAGCGTAACCTGGCAAAAAGTTGCCGTTGTAGTCCTTTCGCTCGACGAAAGTATGGCACGTACCCTCATACGGGGCTTCGACAGTCGCCAAGACGCACGTGCCCTGCTCTGTCACATGAGTCTGCGGCTTCGATACGGAAACAGCCCCTGCTGCGATGGCGCGTTCATACACGGCAGCGCAATCGTCTACGCGGAAAGCGACATCCTTGACGCCGTCGCCGTGCTTGAGTACGTGGTTTGCAATTTCATGACTGCCGGGTTCGATGGCAGATGAGAAGGCGAAGATGATGGCGTTCTGCTTGACAACCTGCGTCATGACGGATCGCGACCCAGTTTCCAGCCCACGGTAAACAAAAGGTTCGAAGCCGAAGCGTGAAATGTAATATGCGGCCGCCTGGAAAGCATTTCCGACCCAGAAATGGACATGGTCAAAGGCGAGGATTTCTCCGCGCTCAGGTTTTACGCCGCGGTCCGTATATGACGTCATAGTGCGTCGAGAGGAACTGCAGTGGACTTTTTGTGCTGCTTGCGACGACGTGCGCTGGAGTCTTGATTCACAGCACTCGACGACGGGCTTCTGCTAAAGTTGAGGTCGTCTAGTTCCACGACAAGGCCGGAATGCAACTAAGAAGTCTGGCACCGAGCGGTGACGCGACAAATTTGTAGATTTCAGAGCCGGACAAGCGTGCAATAATTTAACATTCCGTGAAGTGGAAGGAGGGGTATCATGTGCATACGATGAAATGGTAGAAAATTTTCATGCTGCACCTTTAGGCGTGAAGGAGGAAACGGCGCGATGGGCTTGTCGATTCTGACGTACTACGCCTTCAAAGCAAGCGGCTCAGCGTTACCCTTGGTACTGTATCTCAGAAGGATACGGATTGCTGGTTTTATTTCGGAGATTTCTGCTGGGCTAGCTAGTATGATACGATGCACGCAGTGTAGACCTTCCACGACTGTGGAACACTCTCACTCCAACATGGCATGCAGCATATGCTTACAGAACCGGATATGGGACAGGCCAGAATTTTTTCTTTTTCTACTTTTCCGGGTGTCGCCCCAAAATCTACACTTTGACCCTAAATTAAAACGTAGGAGCCACTCATAGCACGCCAAATCACTTCTTTGGGCAAAGCAAAGCAAACCGCAGCAAAACGGGGCATGTTAAGACACACCCTCAGGGTGTGTCTTACCGTTTTGAGGGTGTGTCTTAACATGAGGGTGTGATCAGATGTTCATATTTTAAAGAGCAAATTAAACAACTTCACGTGAAAGCTTCCCGCCAACAAGCAAGTCCCCGTCTCGTGCCCGTGGAGACATGTCAAGGTCCGGCACGCCTCTTCCTCCCTCCAACCAAGCACGGAGGTGACGTGGGATCCAGGGTTTTGCGTAAACTGCATCTCCGCGCTAATGAGAAGCGAGTTGAGCTCATCGCATGAAGCGCAAACAGTAGCGTCAAGGCTCTGACATGCCTATGCTAGAAGGTATTTAATGGAAAACATTAGCATCGCCATTCAATTCAAAGTCTCCAGCTGCTCAGAAACTTCTTCCTTCCATTTTTTAACTTTTGATGAGCTGAGAAATCCGGCACGTTCTTTTGGCCAGAAGTGCACAAGGTCTTATTAGCTCCACGTACAGAAACTTGTTCCAGCTTTGTAATCTGCTTTAAAATCTTGTGTTCTTGATGAACATTGCAACCCCTAACGCCCATGCGATACTAAGTAAATACAATCTGTTTCATTCCATCATTGTACATGGTCAAGCTTTAAATGTGTGTGCCCTCTTCCCGAACGCAAAACGCCTACACATGAGCATTTAAGCAATTCGCATCACCGATTTGCACAACCCCTCATTCACCCGACGCGGATACTCGTTTGTCATGATCCTGCTAAATACGCAGCTTATTCAGCCCTGCTATGGAGGACTCGCTCTCATCCGTACTCAGTTCACTGCTACCGCTACTTGGGCACGCATCATAATCACCTTCACAATCAGAGTCATACGCACTAAACTTACGTTTCGAAAACGTCGGGCTCCCGGACCCCATACTTCCACAAGTATACTCCTGGAATGCCTTCCGAATCTCCTGCGGTGTACCACCAACAATACCAGACGACATCATCGAGACGGGCTCTGATACAGGATCGCCGGCGAGTACGAGGCACCAGCAGGCATGCTCTTCAAACGTGTCAAAGTCGGAAAAATCATGGTCGGGCTTCGGAACCGTTTCCCGTCGCACACCAACGCTGTCAATGACGACGGGGCGGTCGCGATTCGACTCCAGTACCGCAAGGTCTCCTTCCTTCACCTCTGTTGTTTTCGAGATGAGCGCGGCTCCACGGTACACGTAGATGAAAACGCGGCTGGTGTTGGGGTTGAGCACGAGCTGCGACTTGCGCTGCATTTTTACGTCGTACACAGCGGCGCTCCCAGCAGCAGTCTCCAGCTCTACGGAGGAGCGTTCCCTCTTGATGTCGTGGTCAACTGAGGCCTTGACATCACGATTTGTGGGCCCTGCAAGAACACATATCCTTGCGGCGGACTCGCCTTGTCCCGTGACAAGGAATGGCGGGTTTTCCGTCATCCGTTGCTCGGGCGGGGCGGCCCTCATCTCCTTGGGAATGTTGATCCATATTGAAAAGTACTCGATTATCGGCCCATGAACGGAATGCGAAACAATGAGGCCAGATCCCGCGGTCAAGAGGCTGACACTCCCCTTCTTGAGCACGGCCTCATTACCACACGAATCGGCGTAGTGAAGCTTGCCACTAGTGACGAAGGTAAGGGCTTGTTGCCCACATCGGGGCTCCTCACTTCTAATATCACCCGGCCTAGGGACGCGTTGGGGCCCACAATGGTCGAGGAGTAAGAACGGGGAAAAGGCGGAAGGATGCAGGGCGGAGGAGGAGCGACGAACGCCGAGGCCGTCTGATCCAAGTTCGCCGCAGACCTTGACGACATTTGTCACAAGGCGACCCAAACTCGGAGAGGGCAGGGTTTTCGGTTGTTTTTGGGCGGGGTGGGGTGCGTTTCTTTCGCGGGGGGACTCATTGCGACGGGAACGGCCGCGACGAGGAAGGATGGTCTGAGCTGCGCGGTGAAAGGAGGAGGCAAGCGAGGCGGCTCGTGCACTGGCGGCAGGGCGGGATGATGGCATGGACGGGAGAGGAGGCTAAAGCGGGGGGGAAGTAGGTGAATGTCGGTGGGTGTGGGAGGGGGGTAGGGGGTGAGAGGTGTAGGGGGGGGGGGGGGGGGGGTGGGGAGTGCCAGGGTGCCACGAAATGGAGAAGAGTTCACGGGGGTGGCTGAGGAAGTGCGCAGAAGACGCAGCAGAAGCGAATTTTGAGGTGTTTCGTGAAGTGCGAGGTCGGAATTTGAGGAATTGAGAAGGTTTGGAGAGGGATTTTTGCCTCTCGCAGTGGGATGACTGATGGTAAATGGCGGAAATTCAGAGGATGACGGCGAGTTATTTTTGAGGATCTGACAGAATTAGGAGAAGACAGGCAGCTATTGGCCAACCTGTGCCGCCTACATGGTCTGCAGTACTGCCTCCATCGGGTGGGTCAAGTCGTTGCAGCCTCTTGTGATCATGTCACAATATCTGAAACATGTCCTTTGATTCATCTGTTTCTTATTTATTTTATTCATTTTTTTTACATGGAGTCTCGTACGTGCCAGCTATATGCGAGACGAGAACAAAAAGTATGATTGCGCAGTGTTTATCTCCGTCTGGAAGACATGAGCTGAAACGTGTGTGCCTGGCAACTACTGTACAGTACCATCTCCTAGTTTGATGTCCGGCAAAATCGGCAAAAAGGCGATGGCTGTCGACAGCCACACCGATCCTACAGCAAAACGTCGACAACCACAAAGTACTGTAGCCCTTGCGCGGGGCGGTCGACTTTCGAAAGAGATGTTATATCTCGATTTCGAAAAGACGCTCGACCCCGTGGAAATCCACCTCTTGTGTCTACGTTATCTAGACGACAAGCGATTTGCCTCATATGGGCTCAGCTTTTTTTCAAAAATATATAAATTAAATCGAAAGTTTTGAAAGTTATTTTGGACGCCACTTCAACATACTTGTCCTCGACAATGCAGGGTAGCATGTTCCAGAACATCGGGGTACTGAAGCAGTTTTGAAACACTGAAAGACTAAAAATCTACTGTGGTTTAAATACTGTACCCAGTTGATTTTTGAAACAGGTGTCTTGGTTTCAGAGATATCAATACACAGCAATTCAAGGTTGGTTATGAAACTTCTCTGTCAGGCATTTGTAAAAACGGCCAGATAGGACATGCAGTTCTCACTAAATTCCATCCTTTCGCAAAGGATTAGTCAAGTGCGGTGGTGAGGGTATCTTTCTCCTCCTCCAGAAAGCACAAGTCCAGAAAAAAAGTGGCATGTAACCTCATAGGAAGTCACTTGCACTAGAGGTGTGGCTGATGCAATCCTTCAAAATAATGCGCTGTCACTCGGGCTGCCTGCTTTGCGTATCTTCGTAATTCACTGCGCAGTCCTTTTTTGTGCTGCAATACAGATAGAAGTTTCAGCAGCTGAAGCAGATCAGCCGTGTTCTCGAGACACGAGTCACGTACAGTTACTCCCCAACAGGATTTTGACTAGGAACGCCGTGATTCCACATGCTGGAACCACATCCCCAACCACAGCTCACTTCACCAACAACAAATTTGCTAAAAGCATTCCGCTTCGGAGCAGACCCGCCGCCACTGACCTGGTCAGGGCACAGTCCTCTATACAGTCGGGGACAGCCCTTCCTTTCCATACAAAGGGTTTGTACTCAGAGAAGGTCCACACAATCATACCCTGTGTTCCTCCCTCAGTGACACCCACCTGATAGATCCCATCCGGTCTTGGGTCTTCTCCGCCCCTTCAAACATCCTCTGCCTTACGTAAATATCCGTGATACATCCCGGCCTACATTTATGTTGAAAAATAGTTTCGTAACACTAACAGTAGTTGAACTTATGCACCTTCAATTCACTCCTTTCGCCCGCCTATCAGCCACTTCAAGTTAAGAGAGGAAGGGTGTGGACAATTCGGTGTGGAGGCGCCCTTCCCCTTAAAGAAGGATGGATGGCTATGGCTGGATCCACAGTATATACTGTATGTATCACTCTTTCTGTGCCTGTTCAGGAAATATTGATTGTAGATCACTCATTTGTTAGAGCCCTCCGCCGTATGAAGTATGTACTGTATGTGGTCATGAACTCATCTCTTACTGTCAAGGAGGAGACTGAAAAGCAATTGCCTCTCGCCCTCAAGTCAACCAGTGCCATTCGAGAGAAAAAATCTTTTTACACAAGCAAACCTCGCACGACGCAATGACTAAACGGTAGACTCAAGATATAACGGAATATCCCAAACATGTTCATCGCCTTTTCGACAAACCTCGACCGGCGCAGCAGGTTTTCGAAAATATACCGTGTCATCAGAATAGTCGTTGGGTGGGTGCGCTCGCAATTTTTGGGTGGCAAAATTTCCCTGGTCATCAAACCAGTGAGACAATACAGCTTCACATTCCTTGCAGTGCTGCGCATATGCGAACGCCACATCCCGTAATGAATTTGTTCATCACCCTGCGGAGGCAGTGCGCAAACGAGCAGCAGAGCAGTAAGATACCGTACAGAGTAAAGTCTCGATATGGTGAACCGAAATGTGGCGCTTCCGAGCAACCTACTGAGTTCGCCTTACCGGGCCAGTTCACAGTGGCGGAACTGCTCATGTACACGTGTAGCCGTTGTACAGGTACAGCAAGGCACATAACGTCACTTCCTCTGACACTGTGTATCGACGGGCGACGTCGACGGGCGCAATCGGACATCCAGAGCTCTTCCCGTTGTGATTCAGCCTCCCTTTCTTTTCATTCTGCCTAATTTATCATGGAGAACATCCATGGAGCTGTGTCTCGTGCGACATCAGCTGCGCTTGTAGAACACGATCAAGTTGATGGTGATACAGATGCAGAGGACGATTCCTCTACTGTTCCCGCGGAAGGGCAAACAGGACGCAAACCGTCTCTAGGTCGGTACCGCGCAGCATTGGAAGCTCTTTCTAAAGAACTCCATTGTATAATGACGGACACGAACTTAGTTCAATCGGGGCTGCCGTCGAGCCTCAAATCGCTCCTGTTTGAAGAACAAAGCCGCGTACGGAGACTTCAACGTATGAATCTGAAGCAAGGACGTATTGATAGCTTCTGTATTCGTTGATGGTTCGTTTCTAGTGCGCATTTCGGCCTCGATAAAGTGAACTCTGGGTTTTTCATATTTTTTATGTTCATGGTATCGCGTAGTTCGTTCTATAGAGTCTGGTTCACCTTAGAAATACAAAAACGTCGATTCTGGGCCAAAAAAGCGGGGTGGCGCCTCCCTCATAGTCCTTCGGTTCACGGTACCGAGACAGTTCATCATATCCGGTACGCAGCTTATCGAGACTTTACTCTGTAGCGGCAAGAATGGCATTCTCTACGGAACGTCTGTGTGCCCCTCAGTACGGCAAAGTTTGCCCGGTCACGATTTCCTGGCTTCAGTTCCAATCCAGGACGACCGAATACCTAACAGGAAATAGCAAATTCATTTTCAACAGCAGCCGCAGTTTAGATCCACTGTGTGCAAGAAAATAACGCAGAGGAAGATGAATGTGCTCATTGTAGTTTCAACTTCGATCCCTCAGTGCTACAAGCGCCTGATAGCCATAAACAAGCAACGACAAAGTAAGGCGTCGTCTTCTACTGTACCAGGCAAGCAGCAGTTGTATTTTGAGAGCAAAATCCGCTGTCCAGCCTAGCTTTCGAAGTGCGAGTACGGTATGTCTTCGCCTTTAGACAACATTATGTACAATCTACATCTAGGATCCATCGCAAGCGAGCGGCACATCCCCCGTGATATGCTTTGACAAAAGGCTCGCACTATCGCTAGCTCTCGGGGGTACCCTCGCCATGCGCCCTTTGCAGTGCAAAAGATAGAGCTAGTCGACTCATGGAGACGCTCGTATGCTCATTTGAAGGCCAAGAAGTGCAAACGATTCCTGCGGAGACATACAAGCCCCAGGATCTCCGCTCCTGGAACCCCTTAGCCCTGGTAACCAAGATAATGACCGCTATCCCACCGGCGGTTGTGAACATCTTTGAATATATCTTGCACGTCATGGATCAGATCCCAGTCGGGTTCAGAGCTTAACAAAGCAAGATTCTTTTTCAGTGTACCAACCGAGTCAATGCCCACAAGAGTGCTTGCAATTCTACCACTTCTCGAGCGCATGGCATACTGCAAGGCTACTGTCGCTAAGTCGCTACCGCGAGAATTGCAATACGCACTCGCTTTCTTGGCTGCTTCTTTCGTATCCTTGTCCGCTGGATGCCACTCTGGTGGCCCCTTGGGTGTCAGCATTCCCATAGAAAGGGCGGATGCGTTTACAACACCCACCCCATGACGCTTCAATCCGTCCAACATCAGTGAAAGTCGGTCATTTTGCAGACAGTAGTTGCAGTATGACAACACGACGTCAATAGACCCTGGTTCTGCACACGAGAGCACATACGGAAACACTTCAAGTGGGTACCCTGTTATTCCAATCGCTTTCACCTTGCCCTCCGCTTTTAGCTTGTTTAACGCTGGAATAGTTTCAGTCGCAATCTGATCAATATCTTTTGCGAATTCAATGTCATGGCAGTGAATAATGTCTAAATGTTCGACGCCAAGTCGCTCCATGGACTCCTGGACAGATTGAGTAACTCGCTCAGCAGAGAAATCGAACTTGTCGGTGTCGTATCGTCCAACTTTTGTCCCAAGGACATAAGAATCTCGCGGTATACCGCGGAGAGCCTTGCCTAGGACGGTTTCAGCCCTCGTTCGACCGTAGTACGGAGAGACATCAAAGAAATTAATGCCTCTCCTAAGAGCTTCGTGGACAGCATGAATGCCACTTTCTTCCTATGCGGGAGACGCAGCATTTCGAAAGAGAAGGAATTGGAGAAAGAAGGTTCGTTAGTCTTCAAGCTAGGAAGCAGGTTGAAAAACGCAATCAACGTCGTGATTGCTTGCAACAAGCTATTGAGAGTGAAGCGCTTACCGACACGAGCCCAAACTCGTTTCCTAGAGTTGAAGCCCCAAACCCGATCGGAGACACTTGTATACCGGTAGTACCAAGCTCACTTCGTGATTCGGGAGACACGCCTCCGTCCGCCGCCCCCACATTTTTTCTCTCCATAATCCTGCAGCCGACACAAAGGCCCTGTCTCACCAAAAATCCCGCGCCTGCCGATGCTGCTACTACGGGACGCAGTGCTCAATAGTCAAGCTTGAATAAAGCGCATAAAATGTGTCACAGGCGATGTGACCAAGCAGTAGACTTGGTGGATAAGATGGCTGCAAAATCAAGGGCTGACGCTTTGTTTCGAATGATTCTGATTACTCTGCACTCTACAATCCTTCGACGTGCGCGAAAGATATAAAGCGAAAATGGTCGACGTTTAGTCGCAGGGTTTTAGCCTACCGAGCTCGCAAAGTTGAATCAGTGGCCCTTCACCCTGATCTCATAAGGTCGCAAACCGCTCGGTTTTCTACCGTAGAATGCGCGTATTTATCACACTGTGTACAGGCGTGAGGGAGGGAGCCTTTTCTGAATCGATTTCCAGAAAAACTACAAAAGTACACGTGTAAGTTCTTCAATAATGCACCCTGTACTTCGTATACAGTATGCTTTATTCAATGACTATTGTTGCGAATGGCAAATGCTATACCCTGTACTTCAGCACGAACAACCTCTATCCGTACTGTACTTCAGATCAACACAGTAACCAAAACGGACACTTCGCCCATACTTCTGGCTATGCCCGTGTTGTCGCTTAGAAGCCCGTGCAAACGCGTAAGTGCATGTCACAGAGCATGGCAGATACGTTTCCTTGCGAGACCAATCTGACTGACTTAAACAGATTTCACGACAAAGTTTATCTCTATTACGCAGGCTCTCATCGAGGGCCCAAGAAAGGAGGACTGATGTCTCGCCTATTATTTTCGTTTCGGAAGAAAAGCTTTCCATCATTGTTAAAACTAGAAACTACCGAACCTTGTAGGATTTTATACTTACCGGGGTCATAGCAGGGAAATATGAGAATGTGCCGAAAAGCTTTTGAATTGAATGCACGTGGCGGATTGGGAATAACGCTTCCATGTCATGCACATGCTCTTTTTGCTTACCATATCCGTGGAAGATCCAGACAAGCTGTGAGAGTCCAAAATACTCTAGAAGCACTCACAAATGTTAACTGATTGCTTTAGGATGCACCAACGTTCACTTCACCATCAAAGACGTCATGAAATAATAGGAGTATATTTATCACATGACATTTATCGCTAAATACAATGGAGAGGAGGCAAATATAACTGCTCTTACGCAGAAAAAGCAAATTATCGCTTTCAAGAATCGTGCTCTCCGTGTGAATCATCGAACAGCACGTTTCACACATGGTAAAGGATTTGATATTCAACAAACCAAGCACTCACAAAGAATGTACAGATAAATCAGAAATCCCCTTGTGGTTCCCTTTCTAAGCAGAAGAACCCGTGTGGTAGAGTATTATTAGCGTAGGACGCATCATTTCTGAAATTGAGTAAAACAGCACCTGTCGATAAACTATAAGTTTTCGCTGAGTGCTTTTCGCCGAAGAAGAAGTGGTTGTTACATATAGAACTGGTAGTGTCCAGGCACTCCAGAGGGTCGGTGAATTGAGCTCATATTTTATGGAATGCAGAGATGTATGCTACGCAGGTATAGATATCGGGTGATACTTATCTGAAAAAGTCTATGAGGGATAGATCCTTCGAGGAACCTTCAGAACTCAGAAACTGGACACTCCGCACTAGTGCTAGAGCTATGCTCATTCAGAATGCGCGAGGGAAAGTGGTGTCTCCCTAATTTCTTTGCGCCTACAGAACTAAGAACAGCCGTTCTTCTTTTGTGAAAATTCTTGTCAGCCCTGACTGTTGAAAATGTTAGCCAGTCCCTCTCGACTAAGGGTTAAAAGACGAGCTATACCGTACCCAATGGGAAGTTCTGCGTCGTTCATATCAGGGCGAATTTCCACATCCAAACCAAATGTTTACAGGTCAATTGCATTTAAGAATGTCTTCACCTGTGTTTCAGTTGGCTACTGCTTCGCCCTGTGCCTGCTTCCTGTGAAGAAAAGAGAGTACATATGGACCGCAGGTGTTAGGTCTCGAATACTGCAGAGAAGTAAATTTAGTCGGTTTCAGTTTGGCATAGGGAGCTGAGGTGGACGAGGCGGTAACAAATGGATGCACAGGTGGTGATGTTTCCTATGAGGACGCTTGAGGTACCAAGTAGTCATCTCTATTTCAGCGGTGGTGTCGTTCTTTGTTTCTAGCCATGCGCTGCGTGAATGCATGAATGCTATGTTTTGACTAAAGCATGACGTGATCCAGCTGTATGTCAGTATTGGTAAAGGTCTGAGCTCAAAGATAGGGGCAAAATCAAAGTTTTTTTCAATGAGTCTGGCAGAGCCAAAACCATTTTTTTGCATTGTGGTGATGGCAACACACACCCTACAGCCATGCGATGTCAACGTCAACATCAAACGGCCCATGCTGAAGTACTTTCTTCATCTTCATCACTGACTACTCCAGCGCGCTTCATGCCAGCTAACAGTGTCTCGTGACAGTGCAGTATTTGCGGGTCCAAATTCATGGCATTCTTGCCTTGATGGAGAAGGCATGTATTGTGCGGCTAAAACAGGCAACGCACCTAGTATGTTTCGACTTTTCGACCCCTATATGATCTGAAAACTGAAAGGTCCCTCGAGTACCTTTCTGTCAGTAGTAATAGAGGAACAACACGAAATGACTGATGATGAGAAAACTAAATTGGAGCGAAAAAAGAAGAAATCAATGTTGCAACAAGATTAAAAGACAAGGTTATACGGATTTTTTTTCTCCAGGTTACATATCAGTCCGCAGTGTGCAATACCCATGCTTCCTTTTGAATCGGCACAAGGGCTTCGTCTTGGTTTCGGGATCGATTGAGAAGTCCTATTTCTAAGGTCGTGATAAAGCTGACGTTGTTCGAACGGTTTTGCATATATGCATGAGATGCAGTATCCCCCAGGTGTCCAGTGAATGGGAACTGAAAACCCGTTTACAGTCTATCGAGAATGGTGAAGACCAAAAAAACCCGCCGCGGAAAACGAGGAAGTGCTTTGAACAAGAAACATATTCCCCCTGAGTATTCATCGTATGCGGACGTATTACGCCAATTGGATAGCCATGCAAAGCGAAATGAAGTCTTGAGAAACCTCTCAGGCACACCAAACACATATTTTGCCAAACGAAATCAAACTCTTTCACTGAACACAAAAGTAGTCCAGTCGGGCATTTCAAGTGGGAGCCCTGGGAGGTATGATCATTCCTCGAAGCCTCGTTCAGGTCTGAGTCGAGGGATTGTGATGCCGAGGATATCATCTTCATGGAGTGATCCTTTCAAAGTGGTGTCTGCGGAGGAGTCGTCGCCCCAGTCAATTGTTCCTCCCGACATAAGGTCTGGACCAAATAGCATGACACTAGCCAAAATGTTCATCCTCAATCACTGGCGAGATTCGAGACCTTCCCTGTTTGTTCTTTTCCCTCAGCGACCCAGACCTTTTTTCAAGAGTGAACCACTCTCCACCATGTCTCCACCTTTGAGGACTTGGCTTTCAGATCGTGGTTGGAAGGATACTACGAAAAAGTCCTATACCAAACCTAGAAGATAAGTCTGTAAATTTGTTGATGAAGTGAGACTCTTCCCTGTAATTTAAGAAGTAATTCGATATGGAAGTGAAGTAAATGCTGCTTCGCGCTCACAACACCGACGAAATATATGCTCTGTATTATGAGTCCAGGGCTGACCAGTTCTTCATCGTATAACTGCTTCGAACCTGGGGAAGGTCTTAAATTATTGTTTTCTTTCTGCCCTCTAGAAATTGGCATGTTACAGTGTACTCATGTTGCCGTTTGTCATCCTTTCTGGAAAACTTTAAATCCGCCAAGTTTTAAATGATGCGGATTTTGTTAATAAAAAAAATGAGATAATGTTGCGTTTAGGGGGGCGATCAGGTGCATTTTGGTGGCAACAGACGGGTGAAATCGGCAAAGTTGTAGCGAACAAGGGGTGACGGTGGTAACTTTGCAAGAGGTACCCATCCGATAGAGGTTTATTTGTAAGGATCACTATGGTGACCATATCAAATCTGAGGTGACAAGAAAGGAATTTGTAGGTCCATCATGTTGCTGTTTTTCCTCCTTTCGCCCCGCTCTTGCAACAACAATTCATGATTCGGACCCTGTTCACAAAAGGAAAGTCAATTTCACCCGTCTGTTGCCACCAAAATGTACCTGATCGCCCCCCTAAACACAAAATCTCCCTAATAAAATATGTTGGGTATGCAAGTATCTTGCACCGCACCAACTTACACAACATGAGGGCTTTAGAACGAAACGCAAGTTTGCCCAGGTAGAACGGGAACATGGTACACCTTGAACCACGAAAAAGCCAGACTAGCGTTCAGAAATAGGGGAGGAAACATATCCCCAAAAGCGAAGCACTTCATTGAGAAAGATCAAATTGCCAAAGGCAAGACCACTTCCAGAAGAGTTTTCCGCTCAACCACAGTCATCCAAAACATCACACCGATGATTCCCGTTTCATTTCTTCTGTCTGTCTTTGGAACGGCATGAAAAATTTCATGGTCTCTTCTGCTCATTGAAGCTCAGGCAACGATACAAATAGAGGGTCCTTATTCAAAGCGCATCGTCAATGAACCACCATCATATCTTTCAACGTCTTATTTCTCCGCAAAAAGAACTGTTTAGGAAACACATGACAGGTTTCCAAATTGCATGTGACTACCTGCGCTGCAGAAGATGAAACTTTTAGCCGCTGGTAGCTCGAAAAGATCTTTCTCTAAAGCGTTTGCCATTCAACGCTGAAATCTTCCTTATGTAAGAGCGGTTGCTTTTTCTTATTGAAGCACTTGTTTAAAGTTTTCTAAACGTTTGTTGTCCAGAGCCACATCATTTATACCTCAAACCTTGCGCATTGGAATGTCTGGATCTCTGAAGCACTTTGCCCTCTTCTTGCCATCTCTGAAACTATTCTCTATCGTATTAGCAATCTTCTTTAACTTACCCGCCGCACTTTTTTACTGGACAAAATCGTGATGAAGGTTGAGGCATTAGCCCTGAGGGAGAGCGAAAACATCTGCCCTTTAATCGTGACATCATCGCCGTCTACTTCGAAAGTGGAAGCCACAATCAAACAAATCTGGGCATCTCCTGAAGCGGCCTCTAGCCTTCCTTGTTCCGTAGGTCAGGCTGGCTCTACTCTGAACCGAAACGATCTGAATACATTCGATGAGAGCCTGGGACGTTCAGTGGAGGAGATTCTAGCAGAAGGGGAGCGTTACGAGATCCCTCTACTGGTCGAGGCGATAAAGAT